ATTAATCATTTAAATTTCCAACCAAATAAAACGTTTAACACGCATAAGAATTACTTGTTTTACAATATTAATTTGCTTGAACACTGCTGTAATAAATTCTTATTTTTATGTTACAGAATCAACGTAGCCAACTCCGCTGCTGCGCATCGGGTGGTAAGTCAGAAACTTTTTAATAAGGCAACGAATCTACATCTCGTAGATCGTAGATTGTAGATCATAGATCGTAGATTATTATATCTCATAGATTCGTTGCCTTAAAATGGATAGATTTTTTTACAATGTAATTTCATATTTATTTGAATATATTTCATCTATAGAAAGGGAGTGATCCCGATTTTTACTGTGAAGGGTTGGGTGTCGTTGCAACACATCACATATTTTCACGCAAAATATAACGAATATTATTGATGCATTCGTCGAGCTAATCTCTTGTAATCTATCCATTTTTCATTAACAAATTTATATATGAAGTAAAATAATATGACATGAGATTCTAATATTTTGTCGAGAACGCTGAAACTTTATATTATCTGTTACATTATTTGAGATTATTGATTAACTGGCATATTCAATTGTCGGTCTATCTTTCGTACGGAAAGTTTCTTTTCTCTGGATCTCACGTCATTTATTTTGTGTTTATCTCGCTGTACACTTTCAAGATGTGTCTTGCATGAATACATGCATAGTTACACGCATCTTCATATTTTCGCGGTCGGTCTTCGCAATCAGTTTTTAAAGCATTTTCAAGAAATTATTAATTGTTTAATTTGATTCATATTATAAATTTTAATTAGTCGCGGAATGTAATTAAAATATATATATGTATAACGCGAAGTAAATTGTTTTCTCTATATACATATACACTTAAATTTCGAATTTAGAGATTGAGTCACGAAGAGACAGTCATTATCTATTCTCGAATAAATAACGGAAGTAAAAATATATTTGATGAGTTTTATACAGTAAATTTTTTAACTTAATTTTCTTTTTTAATTAACTTCTCGTGGTCGTGCATTTCGATACGATCGACACTCGTATATTCGAACCGTACGAAATATTTTTGGTGACGATAACCGACTATGGAAGGAGTTTTCTTCCTTCCTGATTTCTGGTCAAAATGATCAGATTGTATGGCCGGGAGCAACGAAAGGTATGTCCAATCTGGCCCAACGAAGGACTAAATACGACGAGGTAAGTGGTCAATATTGGCCACTTTGATAGAGTATGTAAGTGAGGTGATGTAAGAAATAAGTTGATTTCTTCTTATTTGTCAAAATTCGGGTGGGTTATATTCTTATCTTCTTTACATATTCTCGCATATGTGCGACAAGACCCCTATTAAATCCCATTCGCGCGCGTGATTTTTTTACATTTACTTTTAAGAGACCGTTAATAAATACTCGACGAATATGCTAAAAACGGTCTTTCTTGTTATGAATATACGATTTCTAATTGTTCGAATTTCTAATTGTAATCTATATGTATATATCACGAGACACGGTAGTGTCTCGCGCCAAGTATAAGCGACAAACTATTTATATATTTACAGAATATTCGATTCAAATATTCTGAAATTAAAAATATGTGCGCTCCAGAAGAATATTCATAGAACTATGTGCTATCTAAGTTGTTAGAAAATTGTAACCTATTATTAATATAAAAATTGAATACATATTAATGATTTTGTTCTACATACATCATTTAGTGCAGATATGCAGATGTGTCTATGGGTGTGTTCCGTTTCACGTATAATGCGCACAGTGTATCATTATAATTATTTTACATTTGATAAATAACTAAGATATAAATGATGCATTTTACGCATGCATGAAACGAAATGCACCTTATATTAAGAACAAGTAACTTTGTCAGTGAGGAGATATATGCTTGTTATACTGCATACATATTTTCACTTTTGTTATCGCGTATTCTTATCTCATATTTATATGTTTAATCCAGCGCTTATCTACCTTTGGCGTTCATATGTAAACAGGATGTTTCGCAGTGCTCTAACATAAGCGCCGTTCGCGGGAAGGTAGAGGTGACTATAAGACAAATAGAAAGTCCTCTACTATTTTGCAATTGGAGCAATAGTTATCAAGATATTGATGATAAAAAATTGCCGTATTAGCCCGACTTACTGCCAAATGTAAGCGCGCTGCCAAGTGTAAGCCGATGAGATTATAAGAATATCATAATAACTTAGGTTAACATAAAAATCAATATTTTGTAAATGTTTCTCCTGAATATTGTTGGGGACATCATCTTTTTCATAGAGGATTAGCGCTCAGCTGTATGTATACTGTATTCCGACATTTATAGCCATTACGGAAATTCTAAACTATCCCAGCGACAAATAATCAGGGTTGGGAAAATTACTTTATAAAAGTATCTAGTTATAATTACAGTTTTTTTTTGCTAAAGATGTAACTAGTTACAGTAACAAGTTACCAATTCTGAAAAGTAACGCGTTATAGTTACAGTTATTCAAAAAGTAACGAATCGTTCTTTTGCTTTGTAGCTACACGCACAGTGTAGGCAGCTGTCAATAGCTAGTCTTTTGTGATCAGATATTGGCTATGTGATGCGGTGCATTCTTTCAGAGATAAACGTTATTATACTAAGAACGCTATCATACCATCACACTCACTGGTCACTGGTTATAAAAATAAAAATTAAAGATAATAATATATACGTTAGTCGTACAGTACTGATGCAATGAGCTCGTACTCAATTTCATGTTTTCATACGATATGCTTAAGTGCCGTATTATCAAATTATTTTTCATTAGTCACGAATCACTGAGATTAACGCCGATATAATTTTGCTGAGCTCAGACACGTGAAAATAATCCCTACATATTTACATGACAATTTCTTTCTGTCATTGATATTCTGTTTTCTTTTCGCATACGACATAAGACCGGATCTACAATAGGTGTGGTAAACCTTAAGCCATAACTCAGATAGCACAAGACACTCCTATGAACATTTTAAGAATATTCTTTAAGAATATTTGGAATATTCCATAGGTCATTCTTATATATTTATTTTATGTTCGTGAAACATTCGACTGGCACTACTATAAATCTTTTTTGAATGTGAATAGAATAATCTGTCGAATATAGCGTGTCGGTTATATGTGGTAGGATCACAGGTTTTTACTGCCTTTTGCATAAAATAAGTGTATTACACAATAAACAGTGTGCAATATATAAACTCGATGAATATTAAAAAATTATTCTGAACGAATATTCTAAAGACATTCTCAATGAATATTCTAAAAACGTTCTTTGTTATGAATATACGATTTCTAATTGTAATAATCTATATATATTTATAGAATATTCGATTGGAATATTCTGAAATTAAGAATATTTGCACTCCATGTGTGCTATCTGGGTAAGAAATTTATCAATCACAATTATTCTCCTTACTTTCGACTATAATTGGTCAAGCTTAAGACTTACTACACCTATTGCAGACCCGGCGTTAGAGTTTTGAAAGTTAATCTCGCTGAAAATTGTACGCGATTTCGTTCGACGATATTGCCTGTCGGCACAATATTATGCAATCAACAAGTTTTTCATGAATCGCGGCAGAACGTGACGACGTTGGTGGAGTACGCATGTGGAAAAAATCACTTTGCCTGTGTATGTGCGCGCGTGTTAAGTAATTTGTACTTAATTGCACAAAGAATTCATAAGGTCATCATATGTACGCGTATATACCAAGAAAGATATGCGACCGTATGATTCTTCAAGGTTCTTGTTTGCAGTGTTATATAAATGCGCTTTCCTGATAGTCATTCCGTTAACGTGAGATTCGCATCACATAAAAATAAAGTATTGCACAACCGCGGTTTCTAGATACATCTACACGAGTCAAAAATAGAATAAGTCTCGGACTACAATAGGCGATTTAAGTCTTAAGCCCTAAGAAATTTATCAAACACAGTCGAGTATTCTCTTCATTTTTTACTGTAATTAGTCAATTTTTTAAAACTTAGGGCTTAAATCACTTATTGTAGACTAGAACTAAAGAAGCAAAAAACAAACGGAAAATCTCAATACGATCTGAAAGATATCACATGACGATCATAATGAAACATGTTTTCGTCTTATAAGACTCGAAAAAATTTTTGAACAGTTCCGGCAGTTTTGTTGAGAGTTCCCGGTAGCCCCCGGAGAGTTCTATCGAAAATCCTAATGGCAAAATTCCATTACATTAATACTTTTATAGTTATGCCTATTTCTGGGGTACTGTTTCTTCATTCTTCAACTTGTTTTTTTTTACTTTCTCGTGCAGAACTATTGTTAAAATGTATCAAGAACTCTAGAACTATGCGAAATCTATCCAGAACTCCATTAAAAAATTAGTTTTTACGAAAATGGGGGGTTGCGTGAAGTTAGCCCCCCATTTAAAAAAATTCATTTTAACGTCTTTAATGGGCAGAACTGTTTCTTAAACCCATCAAGAACTCTGGAACTTTTGTAAATCTATAGGGAACTCGTAAAAAAAGTTACATTTTTAAATAATGGGGGGCTAACTTCACAGGGGTCGTTCCTATAAATACTATTGGAAACTTTTTCTGCCAAAATCGAGAATATTACTACAGTTAATAGTACTTACAACAGTTAATAGTACTTATTATTTAGTAGGCAATTACATAAGGAGAGAGAGAGAGAGAGAGAGAGAGAGAGAGAGAGAGAGAGAGAGAGAGAGAGAGAGAGAGAGAGAGAGAGAGAGAGAGAGAGAGAGAGAGAGAGAGAGGGGGGGGGGGCGAGAGGGTCGTCGGCAAAGGCAAGGAGAGGCGTCCTAGAACGGTGAGAGTTGCATGGTAAAACCATGGAGGATCTTCTTCTCGACGGCGAACGTTTTCCACACGAGGGACATCGAG